CTAGCACAATCAAAACCATTTAAATTTCTCGGGGTTATTTCTTAAACAGCTCTGAAAACAACTCACAGAGAGTCAATTCTGTATTTATACAAGTGCTTCTCTGCAGGGAGCCACGTCCTTCCTAGGCATCAACATTGCTGCAAGGTTGACTCACTGCCTGAGAAGCCAAGCTTACTTGTGGCACCCTCTCCAGCCTGATCTGGGGTGGGTATTTTTGAATGGGTTTTGAAAACCTCCAAGGATGGAGCCTGCACAGACTCACCAAGGAACTGGCTCCACTGTTCCCTTAGCTGCTCCTCACAGGATGAGTGCTCCAGCCTCCAGGGACTGTCTTGGTGGTCCTCCACTGGACTCACTCCCATTTATCTGTGTTTCTCCTGTACTGGGGCCCCAAAACCAGATGCAGTACTCCAGATGGTGTCTAAATGTAAGCAGAGAGACAAGGAACTAGTGCCAGTTCCTGGTAGCTTTCCAGGATCCAGCAGGATCTATGGGGTTGAAGGCTAAAATCCAGACTCTCCAAGCAAGGACTTTCCTCCCTCTTTCTCTTCTACCCCCCTTCTCCAACCAGCGCAGCATTAGATTTGTTTGCTGTACTCATCCAATGAGCTTATCTGTTGGAGGGCAGGCTGCCTCTTTGTTCATCCCCTACAAGGAGTGGATGCTGAGCCAGACCACCTCGCTTGGAGCCAGGCTATCATTCCAGCCCCGAGGACAGCAGTGCCACATGGTGCTTGGAGCGTATTGTCATCAACCAAAAAGGTCATTGTCGAGAACTTGATGGCTGGGCCAAAAAATACACTTCTCCATCACGAAGACTGGCCACAGCTAAGCTTTCATGATTACACACTTTAGATTAAAAATTCAAAACGACCAGAACAAAAGCTCGACATGGTAGCAAACCAAAACCCTTTATCCAAATAGCTTGTGAGTTCTCACTCTCACCTAACAATCAAAATCTGTAACTGAGATAAGAATCCAAATAAGGTTTTAGAGAAACCTTGGGTCTCAGGTCTCTTCTTCATACATAAATGCATAAAATTTGCAGCACTTTTCCAGCTCACTGCCTGAAAGAGAACTCCAGCAGCTAAGCTGAGAAACACTTTCAGCCCTTAGATTTTCCCAGATAATCCTTAATCAAAGGTTATATACAGTGAAATCAAATTTAAATCAATTTATCATGCTAGGCCTTAAGAGAAGGGATAGCTGCTGTCTATTTCTTCACCCTGCCTCTCTCTGTAAGAGTAAGTAAAGGACTGAAATGGAGGTGTGGGTCCTACACCATGACCTACCACTGTGTCATCTTGCACACTACATTGCTGCCTCATTTTCCCTCTGCATGCCATAGCGGTCATGAACTCATCTAGCTGTTGAGATACTTGGAGGAATGCACCTCCTTATACATAACTTATCAGGACTAGGTGCAGAACAAGGCTGACAGTTTTGTGGTTGCTGGTGTAGGTGACCGGAGGAGTCTGGACTTTCAGCCGCATCTGCTGTGATATCTTCGTCACCATGGATGTAATGATGTGCACGGCCAGCATTTTAAACCTCTGCGCTATCAGCATTGACAGGTGAGAGCCAACAGCATCCAGGGGGATAGTCTGGAGATGGCGGTCGGCCCCGTACCCCAATGTGGCAGGGACAAGGAAGTGGGGTTTGCACAGGCAACATTGGTGTCTTCAGGAACACTGCAAGTCTATCACTGCCACTACTGCTATTAGTATGGCTCTGCCTACTGTGTACTAGAAGATGTCTGCGCTTAAGGGCAGAGAGGCACAAGCAATAAAACCTCTCCAGTGGCAGTCAAACACATCTTCATGCTTTTTGAAGGCTGGGACCAGAAGTGGTCATCTAATTCTCAAAGAGGGTTTCTCCTTCTGGAGACCTCACTCATGAAGTTTTAATAAACAAAATCGTGCCATACACATAGGGAGGGGTGAAGTTTATTGCTGTGCAATCTTCAGCCTTGCCCTGTTTTTCTGCGTCTTAAAAAGAGCCTATTTTAAGCAACACTGAAGGCTGGGAGCCAAGACCTCGGCATGCATGGTGCTGTTAGGACCGAGGAGTAGGAGAAGGAAAAAGCACTGCATGCTGTACCTTTGTAATATGTGGTTCAAGGGTAATCGTACGAAGCAGCTCGCAACGCTGTGTTGGTCTGGTGTTCCTCTGTAGGAGTCTTTATCCCTGTTTCATTCTGGCTCTGCCTGCAAGGAACAGGCCCTGGGCTATCCTGAAGATGAGACTCCTGCGCCTTCCAAATCCTAGCCTTGCTGAGCTGCATCCCCTGGGGCACCCCAGCAGACAGAGATCCCGGACACCTGCCTGTGGGCAATCCCCTAGCTCTCAGAGAGGCTGACACCGGAGCGGGCAGCTGAGGCACAGAGTGTAACAGGCTGTGGTTGCTCCAGAGACTGCTCTTTCCTAGCAGTGCACATATAATCTTAAGGGCTTGAGGGGTGGGGGCTTCCTGGGGTTTTCTAGGTCCATCCGGTATCCCAAACCTTGTAGCTTCCCAATGCCAGCAGTTCTGCAGGGTGTTTCTCTGCAGTGCTGCCAACTAACTCTGATTTCCTCTGTTCCTCCCCTCAATGCCCTGCTTACCTTTTCTACAAATTGCTGATCCCATCATCTGATCTTCTCTCCTTTCCTCTCCCATTTCTTCACCACATTCACCATCATGTTCCCTACGTGGCTTTCATTTCTTCTTTTAAAACTTCGTCCTTTTCCTCCCTGCATTCTTACCTCTCCTCTTTCTGGAGCTGGTTTGATCTGCAGATACACTGCAGTGGTGAAACCAGTTCAGTACCAGTACAGCACTGGGCAGAGCTCCTGCAGGAGGGTCTCTCTTATGATCGTGATAGTCTGGATGCTGGCGTTCGCAGTGTCGTGCCCTCTCCTCTTTGGCTTCAATACTACAGGTAGGTGATGTCCTGAATGATAGCATGCAGGGAGGGGTTAGAAATGGAGCTGCCCTGTGTATGGCCAAGTCATTTAATGTGAGTCCTGCAGACTTTCCAAGTTACAGGAAATTTTAGGGAACGGGAAAGTACACTATGAAGGGTGAGAAGAATCTCCAGTGCTGGAAAGCAGATGTGCTTTTGTCTATAAACTTGTCATTTTCTCAGGCAAACACTGACTATCGCGCTGAGGACAGACCTGCCTGCTTCACTGTTAAATCAATGTCCATCAAATTGTCGAGGTCTACAGATCCCTCCAAACAATCACTCCACGTACACAGAGAAAATCTCCAGAAGTGCAGCATGTCCAACACACACACACACACACACACATCAGATTTACTGCATCTTGCTGATATCAACAGGTCCAGACACACAGTTTTAAATCTGATACAGGACACATTTCTAAACAGCGAGGATTGCATATCGGCACTGCTTGTGAGAAACCTCCTTCCCATCCAACTGGCTGTCTGCTTCCTCCCCTAATCCCTTGAGGAGAGCAAACAATTTAGCCTCCTCCTTGGAAGCAGGTTGGTCTTTCTCCTTCCCCTCATCTAGGGCAGCCCATTCTCCCAGCAGGCAGAGGGCCTGGGGAGCCTTCCTCCCCTCTGAGCCACAGGCAGTAGTCTTCTGCTCCCCATCCAGCCTCTATGCAGTGCTTGAGGTGAGAAGGGGACAGGGGGTGAGAAGCACTGCTGTCCCCCACTGCCTGGTCCAAACACATGATGGTGAAGGCACACCTCTGCATCTAGACAGCTCAGAGGCTGTCAGTGGAATGATGAAAGGAGAAAGAGTTGTCTGAGAAAGGATGGGAATAGACATGAGAGAAAAGGGCAGAGCTGTGGCCAGAAAAGCAAGCAGATGCATACTGGTTCATGCTAGATGACCCTAGGTAGAGTCCATTTCAAGCATCAGTTAAGTAAGTGGATAGGCCACAGTATAATTTTCAACAACACAGACAGGAGATACTTGCAGTCCTTAGAATGCCTTTGTCCCCCAGCCACCTTTCGACTTGCTTTGCCTGTGCACCAGAGCCTCATTTTACTAAACCAAAGCAGCTCAGCCGCTCCTCTCTCTCTCTCTCTTCCCTCCCCAGCGGATCCCAGTATTTGTTCCATATCCAATCCTAGTTTCATCATCTACTCCTCTCTGGTGTCCTTCTACCTCCCCTTCATGGTGACCCTGCTGCTCTATGTCCGGATTTACCTCGTGCTAAGACAAAGACAAAAGAAGCGAACCCTCACCCGGCAGGGCAGCCACAGCGCCAGCACCAAACCGTGTTATGCACACAAAGTAAGACCCACAGGAATGCAGTAGGAGCTGTCAAAAAGGACAGGGCATGCATCATCTCTTCTCCTCAAAGGGTCAAAGCACAGAACGTAAAGCATAAAGAAGGGACATGGCATGTTTTCATCCCATCCCTCACACATACACCATGACATCTGAGATGCAGAAGCTCCAGTTAAATCCTTTTCAGCCCTCTGGAAAGAAGGTACTCCCTGTGTATCTCTGCTGTCTAGAACCAGGCAACTAGAAGAGAGCACAGCCTACTTCAATATTGCTTCAGAGCAGGGCTTTCTCAGCCACACAGAAGTCTGGCTAATTTCTTCATTTATTGATTTTAATTTCTTCATTTACTGATTTTTGCTCTACAAAGCTTTGTCCTCAGGGCTTCACAGGCTTTAACTTACATTATTAAAAAACCCAAAGCCTCTTCATCTCACAGACTTAAGAGGTCAAAATGCTCATGGTGCACGGAGCATTTGTTCCACTGACCTTTCTAGATGAAATATATGCAACCATGGGAACCAGCACAGTGGTTTGAAAGGGATTGCCTGGTCATGCATATCCTCTTGTTCCACCCATTTTCTCACAGTGAAGCTACATTAAAAAAGGGTGGGGATGTTGAGGGAAGCAGGTCCAATGCAAAAATACAAGTGAAACATTAGCAGAGCAGGTGTTTCAGCTCTTCTTGTACTCATGCTTCTCCTTGGTGGGATGGAGGCAGAGAGTTGTCCAGTGCTGGTTCACCCCTCTGATAAGCCAAGGTCAATCCAGAGGATATGATGCAAACCCAAGAAGCAAGTGGGGCTAAGGATGACTCCTACAACTTTTCTCATCATCCGTTGACCTGATGAACAGTTTGGATGGTTCCCAGTTCCTCTGTGGCACCCTTTTTTGCAGGAACGTATGGAGAGAAAAGCTTTGCCGAACAGATGCCAAGGCACCTTTTCCCCCTGTCTCCCACTCACATGCTCAGGCCAGGAGATGTCTACCAAAAGGAAGTTGCTGACTGTCTTCAGCCTGCAGCGGTACCGCAGCTTCTGCCACGAGACATCCCTTACTAAGGCACCGGGGACTACACAACACAGCAGGCTGGAAGAGAGGAGAAAGAGTATGAAGCCAGGACTGGAGGTACGGAGGCTCAGTGATGGCAAAACCATCAGCTCTTTGAAGCTAGCGCACCAGCAGCCCCGGCTGATCCAGCTTCGGGAGAGGAAGGCTACACAGATGCTAGCTATTGTCCTGGGTGAGTGAGAGACATTCTGTCTCGTGGGGTACAAGGGGTGATGGTTTGGGACTTTCAAGAGCAAGGAATCTCCTAATACAGTATTGAGATTAAAAAAAAATGCAAGCAAGGCTCAGACTTCAGCTGTCACTGCTCCACAAACTCAGGAGAGACAACAACAGTGGGACATTTAGGGATCTACGGTAATACTCTCAAATGTTGAGAGCCAAGTATTTTAGTGTTTTATTTGCTATGTTTTGTTACCCTTTTGTTTTAAGTCAGTGGCCAACAAACCCTGCTAGAGGTAGCAACAGCCAACACCTTTCTTTCCCTTTTCCTATTATTATTATTATTTTTATTACTACTATTATTACTACTACTACAAAGCTGGAGCAATCCTAAGGTTCCATACATGCAGCAGCTCTTAGGACCAATTACAGAAGGGGAACCTGAGGCAAGAAGCAACAGAGGAGCTGGATAGAGAAGCCAGGACACTGGTGCCCCAGTCACCTGCCATGGTCACCAGAGCTACTGCTTCACCTCATTAACTCAGTAGTCGTAGGGAAATAATGCAGCCCTCATTGTAACCGATTAAAGCAGCTAAGGCAGAAGTCTTTCTCTCTAAGTTGTGGCCACTTGCTTTTGTCTGTCACCAGGCCACTTCTGAAGCCCCATCCATCCATTCACATAACCGGCTCCAAGGAGCCTGATCTTTTGCCAAGTCCCTCTGTACCAGGAGTAAACATCACCTTCAGTGTTTACCAAAAGCAGACACGTGCACAGAAATAGTGAGAGGATGGAGGGAGAGGGCGCAGCTGCAGGCCCCATTCCAAGCAGTTGCTTCTCTAAAGTCATGGATTGTTTTCTCCCTCTCTCTAAACCCAGGGACATTCATCATCTGCTGGCTGCCCTTCTTCTTGATTCACATCCTCAACGCCCACTGCCCGTCCTGTCGTGTGCCCCCAAGGCTTTACAGTGCCAGCACCTGGCTTGGCTACGTGAACAGCGCCCTCAACCCCATCATCTACACAACCTTCAACACCGACTTCCGCAAAGCCTTCCTCAAGATCCTCTGCTGCTGACCACGGGGCCAGCACCGGGCTGTGTGGGCTGCAGTTTGCCCACAGACTCCTGGGCTGGGGACAAGGCACGGGGCCCTTCCCTTTCTCTGCTTTACACGCTGTGGGGAGTGATGCTGCTCCCCTCGGCTGTGAGCGGTGGTGGTCAGCGTGACGTGGTCTTTGCCAACAGCCGGGCACCCTCTGCACCAGAGCGAAGGGCAGGAACCCGCCCCACCTGCATGGCTGGCTTCCCACACTGAGCCTCAACGCTCCTGCTTAAGAAAGTACAAGCGCTTCCCACTTCTGGGGAGGGAGGAGGAGAAGACACAGAGGCAAACCAGTGAGTCCCTCAGCGCTGGGCACAGCGGCGCTGAGAGGCAGACCCGGGCGTGCGGTGGAAGATCAGTCCCCGCAGCACGCAGCTCCTGGGAGCTGCCAGGCTGGCAGAGTACATGGGACCCAAACGGACCGCATCTCTCATCACCCCTGCCTATGTGCTGGGAATGCATTTGCCCTCCCACTGCTGGAGCCTCAGCTTGCAGGAGGCACCCATCTCACATGCAGCAGTCCTAATAAGAGGGCAGAACATGACCTCTTTGATAAGGATCCTGATGCCTTCAACCGGGAGCCAAGAGCAAAAATTTTTCAAGAAGACTTAGAAATGGAGCACTGATAGAGAAATGACAACATTCCTGTTTCCATCAAAAGGTTTGCCCATAAAATTGGGTCAGTCTCAGTGCTTGAGAAAATTGCCCCAGTTGCAAATGAAACCTTCCCCTGTGCTGCCAGCTTGTATTTTATTGCTCCTTGCAAGGTAGAGAGGTGGCTACCAGCCCTCTGGTAGATCAGATTGCATGAGAAGTGCAACACTACCACAGTGTCCCCACTCTTCCTAGCCCAAGGACCTGCCACACACCCAGTCATTACTGGGGCCACTAAATAATGGACAAGGACTAGGATAGCTGTCCAGTCATGCCTGCAATAGATTTGTACCTGTTTTTTCCAGCTGGGTCAGGTTGCATGCACCCTGTCTCAAAACTTGTTCATGGTCTCTTTGGAACCAATCTCTGTTTGTGCCCCTCTACTCATCAGGAGCACTGCTGGATTAAGGGTTTGTCCCATCTAACTGCTGCGATAACCCGTTACAGCCCATGTCTGGGGGAAAGTGGTTCCGGTGAGGTCCCTCCCAGTAAGAAAGGATGTGTGCCTCAGGACCAGACCCAGGACTTTCCCTGGTTCCTCTCGCCAGTACACCTGTCAGCACACAGGGCACCCGCAGTTCCCAGCTTCCAGGAGCTGGCCAAATACAGCCTTGCCACGGTCTCCTTTCCCTGCAGTATTTTACAAAGCCATCTCCAGTCGTTCCTGGATGAAAACACCAGACAAGCCCTGCCATACCATGTAAGCTGGTCTCATGTCAGGGCACTCTAATGCTCTTCTCCTTGTATAGACAATCCAGACCTAGGACAGCTTCAACTCCCTCTCATCTTCCCCCCTCGCTGTGCTGGATCAGAAGCTCCAGTGCTCACGCCCAAGATGAGGCTTAGCTGTGCTGTTAGCCATGCTCGTTTGACAGCTTTGGGCATAACCATGTGTGCTGTCTCTGCCTGTGTCTGTGCCACAGCTCCTCCATCTGGGAAGGGCTTCCTCTCCCAATATAAAGCCAAAACCATTGTCCTTCGCCTCTGGAGCACATAGCAGAGCTCTAGCTGCTTCTTTTGTTTGTCTGGGGTTTGGGAGGAAATGCTCATGGATAGCATCTGTTGTTTGCCTGGGGAGATGCCCTCCATACTGCATTGTAACTGCATTAATCCAATAAAACACGAATGTAACTGGAAGTTTTGGTACCTTTGTGGTGAATGTAGCCCCTCCATAGCCTTTTCTCACCTGTAGACCTCTTAACACTTTCCCTGTACAAAATGACCATCCACCTGGACACCCACGAGAGGTTTTTATTATTACTTGCATTTTACTTGCAACTGGGAAAGAAATAATGCCTGCTGTAAGCACTTCCAGTAGATAAATTCTGAAAATATGGTCAATTAGTTTCCCAGCTATGCCAGGCAGGCGTGCAGTAGTGTTACTCAGTCTGCTCAAAGGTGCTGGACAGCATGGGAGGTACTCAGCATGCAGAACATTGGGGGTATCAATCGAGTGAATCAACTTGTGGACAGATTGCTGCTCAAGTAATTCTCATTAAGATGCTTCGTAACACAGTTCACCAGAGACCAGTTTCCATTGCTTTATATACACAGTTGTCAGAAAGGTGGAAACAAGGAAAAGGGTCTTTTAAACGGTGACTTGGTCCATTTCAAGCCCTGGTGTAGCATCTCTCAGGTGTCATCTTCAGTCTGATCTTACTTGAACTTGGACCTGTTCTTTAAGCAGTGATCCCCAAGGTAATTCAGGATAGAGGTGAGGAACAGAAAGTGTGGCAGAAAACTGAGCAGTGTTTTGGTACCCACACAGTTATGAGGGATGGGGAAAGCTCTGTACCTAAAAATATGGTCCTTTATTTAATAATTAAGATTTGAACTATCAGATCACAGAACTGAGAGCAACCTCTTGAACTATAACCTGTTATGGACCAAAAAAAAAAAAAAAAAAAAAAAAGGCATGACAAAACCCACCCAAAATTACAAAAACTCAACTCAGAAAGAAAACAATAGCTCTTTCCCCCTCTCTCAGGTACTGTTTGAGCTCTGAGCCCAGTTTTACTGTGGCAATTTGAACACATGTGGCTTCACAGTAAAGGCCAAGGAACAGAAGCAATCAAAGGTGTAACCAGTTGACACCCCCCCACACCCTCCCCAGTATGCCAGAGGGACAGCTGAGGAGCCCTGCAGGACCTGTGCTTCACAAACCCCCATTCATTATTTGCAATAGAATAATCCACACTCCCTCATTTTTTAAATGAAATGCCTCCTCCCGACCTTCATTTTCTACAACGTATTCATCTTGCTGGGTTTTTTCCCCATCTCCCTGACTGCTGGAAGAGGAGAGGTGAGCCGTGACTCTGTGCACTGCTGAAGAACCACAGGCGTTGTACGGGGTTTCATTTACACGCTGATATTCATATTAGAAGAGCCTTTGGAGAATGCAGGAAGCTCCTCTCCCGCAGAGAGGAAGAGGGAGCTCAGAGACCGCCGCAGGCTGTAAATAATTCCCGGTGTCAGGAGACCTCCTCTTGACAGCAGGGCTGGGCAGACGTGCCGGCACAGCAAGGGGTCCTGCAGTCTGTGCTCACCCTCACTCTGCTCCTCCCGCAGCCGGAATTTTTTTCCCCTACGCTGGATGCCCTTTGCAAACGAGCCAGCAGACAGAATAGCCGGGAAGCATCTCCACTGTAGCTGAGGAGAGTTGAGACCCTTTGGAGACGAAGCAGCGCTGGCAAAACCCACTGTGTACAGAAGCCAGCCCGCCCCCCCCGCAAGGTACAAGGCAGCCATCCAAGTATTGCCTGTCTAGACACAATTACAGCACGCCTGAGAAATGGACAGAAAAACTCCGTTTATCCCCTGCCTGCACTGTTTCTCCACGCAGACATGTGTCCCAGCTCGCAGAGCCGTAGGCTCTGGCTGAGCTGTAGGAGCCCAGACCAACGAGCTGCTGGGCCCACGTCCCCCCGCGGCTCGCTTAGCAGCCTCGCAGCGAGTTACACTCGCTCGGGTTAGCAGGCACACGCAGCTCTCGCAGCACTGCACACCGGCTCGGACAAAGCCACAGGCACCCTGGTCTCCTCCATATATACCTGGGGCTCCCCAGGGGTACGTCTGGGGCAGGTATGCCACACATTTCACGCATCAAGTTTGCTGCTCCTGCCTGTGATGCTGCTCTTTGGGGCTTCTAAACAGCACAACCCACCCAAGCGCGTGTGTGCACCTCCTAGTGCCCTCCCTGGAGGGACACAGGGGACCTTGATGATGGCTGCAGCTCTGAGGTGCTTTTTTTTAGAGCATAGAACATGCAAATAAAATGGATTGTGAATCCATAGTTCAGAATAAGAGGTTGTTCAGAATAAGTGGCAAGAGCCTGACTCTGGGCTGGACAGGACAGCTGGCCAGGCAGCAACCTACTTTTCGTGGTGCCTCTCAATCTGCAAACTGCAACTTCTCCTCAGGCTGCTGTGCAGTAGTGGGTATTTAAGGCGAGTATAGATTGTCTGAAAACAAGGCAAGGCAAGACAATACAACCCACCCTGAGCAGCTCTCAGTCACTCACTCCTACAAGCACAGCAGGCAGAAGCAAGCAGAGGGCATCTCTACAGCTCACTGCCTCCTCTTCACAGGCCACCAAAAATTTCTATTTAGGCTGCTACATGGTGGTTATTGTAACTACTTCTGTGGCTTGCTTGGGTGCAGGTGCAATAGGAGACAGATGTCCATCACAGATCAGAGCCCCATGTGTGCCCCATAGCTCTCAGCTATGTTCTCAAGGGCCACAATTTAAACTTCAGGTCCAGCAGCAAAAACACAGATTACCCAACTTACTAAAACCTTAAGTGGTACCAGGCACCAAATTGAAGCCATCCAGAGCTAAAATCAGCAGTTCTTATGTTGAGTTTTAAATTGTAAAACATAAACAGAGAAGAAACCATAAAAAACTCTCCCCCCATCAGAGGCAGCAAGCAGACACAACAGGCACCAGGTCACACAGTAAGCAGGAAAGCACAAAGGTAAAACGATCTTCCATGAGGGAAAGCTGCCGGCTGGGAAGGCAAGGGAATGATGGAGGAGGCAGGTGTCACCCACCAGCATGGCCCCACGGCTCTGCAGGTGACTCTGCTCAGCCAACATGCCCCAGTGCACCTTGCAGCAGCTGTTGGACACGGTGTCTTAACAATCTCAGCTGCAGCCACACACTAAAAAACCCCCACATTCGCCAGACTACAAGGAGGACAAAGCAAAGTCTTGCACAAAACTTTGCTTCCCTAGGTAATGCTCCCTAGACTTCTTAGGGGGTGGCCAGGCCAGCTACTCAGCTGAGCTCAGCTGGACCCTGCTGTGGGGCTAAGCACAAGCAGCTCCCCTTGCGG